GGGAGGCCGACAAGCAATCAGTTTGCATAGTTGAGCCTCGATGTAATGAAGGCGTGTATGAGGGTTTCGGTGGCCTGTGGTGTGAGACAGTGTCGGAGCCGGGCGACATTGCGGAGGTGGGGGAAGGCAGAGCAGGTCCTGGCACAGATGTGGGGTAGAAAGGATAGTTGAGGGTCATCCAAGACCCCAAGGTTTCAGACTGGCTTAGCAAGGTGGAGTGTGCAATTATGGTTGGTGATGCTGTCAGTGCCTGAGGTGAGGAGGCATTGACAGCATCACCAACCATAGTTGCACACTAAGCCAATCAGGAGAGCCTCGGTCTTGTTGACGTTCAACTGAAGAAACTTAGCTCTCATCCAGGACTTGATATCTGACAGACATTCAGTCAGGACAGCAGTGGTCCTGGAGTCAAGGGTGGAGGCAGAGAGGTACAATTGAGTGTCACCTCCCTACGTGTGGAAGTTGAACTCATGTCTGCGGATGATGTCACCAAGAGGGAGCATATAGATATTGAAGAGGAGGGGACCAAAGACAGAGCCCTGATGATCGCCGCACGAGACGGTCCAGGGGCTAGAACTGAAGCCTCTTGTGGAGGTGAAGTGCAGGTGGTGTGAGAGATATGATCTGAACCAGTCAAGGACAGAGCTGTGGAGGTTGAGGTGAAAAGAGAGGCGGTGGATGAGGATAGAGTAGTCAACGGTGTCGAAAGCAGCAGAGAGGTCAAGGAGGACAAGGAGGCAGCGGGAGTCCTGGTCGCAGATGGACAGAATGTAATTTGTCACTTTGATTAGGGCGTTTTCTGTGCTGTGGGCGGCATGGAAACTCGATTGGAGGGATTCGAGAAGGGAGTGGCGGGAGAGGAAGGAGCGAAGCTGAGAAGCAACAACTTGTTCCAGGACCTTGGAGAGGAAGGGGAGGTTGGAGGTGGGGTGGTAGTTAGGGAGTAGAGAAGGGTCCATCAAAGGCTTTTTAAGGATAGGAGGGATGACAGTGGTTTTTAATGGGGTGGGAACAGTACCGGAGGATAGGAAGAGGTTTACGATGTCAGTGAGTAGAGGGGCAAGGAGGTGAAGCTGGGAGGTAAGGAGGGAGGTAGGGATGGGGTTGAGGGAGAAGGTGGTTGGTTTCATATGGGTTATGGTGGTGATGAAAGAGGAGGGGGAGACAGGTTCAAAGCTGTGGAATGAGGGATGGGTAGGGGCCAGCGTGGGAGGAGGAGATGGGGAGGGGTTAGCAGTTGCAGTGGCAGAGGCAGCTGAGCGAATTCCCTCGACTTTGGATTCAAGGAAGTCCAGCATCACCTCGCAGTTGTTATTGGAGGTGAGGATGGGTGAGGCGTGAGAGGGTGGGCGGAGGAGCCGGTCCGTGATGGAGAAGAGGAGCCTGGGGTTGTCCTTCGCCTCAAAGATTGTCTTCGAGTAGAATGACGATTTAGCAGAGGCGAGGGCGGAGTGGTAGGATTTGATATGATCCAGCCAAATCTGCCATTGGACCATTAGGTCTGATTTAAACCAGGTGCGTTCAGCGGAACGATTCTGTGCTTTAAGGGAGCATCACACACTGGACACCATAACAACATACAAGAGCAGGTAACTAACTCCCTGACCTCTTCTAATACTGCTGCCCTCTTGCAATCTTGTAATAAGGTTAGGGGCTGATTTTCTTTTCTTTTTTGCAGAGACATATCTGACCTCAACTCAGTAAATATGCATGGAGATATAAACAAAATGACAAACTCACCATTTGGGTGACTGGAGGCACAAAAAAACTCCTAATGCTCTGTAACGAAGCAAGCTTGAGTTTGAATGCCAGAGTCCCATTCACAGTTCAAATCCCTGTAAAATTATATACTTTGTTATTATCACACAGTACTTGCTCTTTTATATGTATTTAATCTCTCTCACTTGATGGCATACTTATTCATCAATTTACCAGCTCCCAGACAGCAACAACTTGCATTTATATAGCCCTCTTCATGCGGGGTAGTGTCCAGGAGCGCTTAAGTGCCTCAGTTAACATCACTGTTGAGGCATTTCTGGGGAGATAAATCTGCAAGAGCAACCCAGAATAAGTGGCTAAGTGCAAGAGCAACCCAGACTAATTGTCCCTTCTTTGCTCTTTTTGGAGAAGCTCCTCTGGTCAAAGGTTTAAGACACCATTTCCATCCAACTCTATCTCCCGACTCACAACCAACAAATCTGATTTCTATTAAATATATAGTTTTAAAAGTTCAGAATTAATTTTTGTGTTCTCCAGATTGAGGGATTCAGTAGTGCTGGGGAAGGGATCACTTCCACATTTTCCCCTCTTTCCTCAATCCCTTCATCTCACTCCCTCCCTTTCTGCTTTCAAACCCCGTTAAAAGCCTACCTCATTCACTGAACCTTCGACTACCTCACACCAACGCATCCTATCTCCCACCCAGTGAAAAACCCTTTGAGACGTTTCCCTACGTGAAGGTACTATATAAGTGTAAACTTTTGTTGCTATTGTAGTCGCACACACAACAATTCTCCACAGCACCCAATAGACTTGTAAGGAAAAAATGAAAAACTGCATGATACTGAAGGTCAGATCTTAATCCACAGAGAGTTGAAAGCCAAATACAGTACTCATGAATTTCTGCAATGAATCCCTTGGATAGAAAATACACAGTACATTTCCATGAAACTCAGTAAGATAGAGTTACTGCAAATAGCGGAACTGACACAAGCATTACACAAATGGAAAAAATCACCGTTGTATTAACACAAAGGTCTATGCAGCGTAGCATACATGTGTTTTTAATGTGCCAGTTTCCTTTGTTTTTTGCTTTTTACTAATAATTCTTACATTTGATAAAGTGTCATTCATTTTGGGAGGGCGTCTAAAAGTGTTTCACAGGATTTATTATGAAGTGTAGTGACTGTACATTTTGTAGGTGAACGCGGCAGCCGGTTTGTGAACCGCAGTGTGCTGCAAACAGTCATGAAGTGAATGACCATTTTTTGGGGGGGGAAAGGGGGTGGCGGGGCAGATTGCTGGCCAGTACACTTGGTCAAAAGATTTTTAACGTCCACCTGAAGAGGCAGAGAGGATCTTGCTTCAATGTCTCATCTGAAGGACGGCACCTCCGACAACGAAGTTCACCCCCAGTACTGCACTGGAGTATCATCTTAAATTATGTTGGTTTGAGTTCAAAGTTCCAATGATGGATTTGAACCCACAAACTTCTGACTTAGAGGTGAGAGTACTATCCACTGAACCAGACCAACACTTAAGAGTCATGAATAGAATTAAAGTTCCACAAAGTACATTTTCAGTGCTTTACACACTTCATTCAGAGAGTAATTCAAGCTCTTTACAGTATATTGATCTGTGTTCAGTTCACTGGGAATGTCACACTTGCTGCCACTCAGTTCATGGATCAGATTTACATTCCAGTGTATTTCATCACAATTTATATTATTTGCTGTATCTCAGTAGCCAGTGCATATGCAGGTTTGGAAAGGGGATTATTCTCTGCTGCTGATGCATGGTGCACTCATTTCATACATCCAAATGATTCACTAGCATGTTATTAAATACCAAGCTGCAATTCTATCATCTAATTGTGAGGTGAAGCATACAGTACTTTTTTTTCTGCACCGTTGCTCATGGTGCTCAGGAACAGGAGAACAGGACAATGCTCCATAAATATAGCTTCACTTTCCGTGAACTAGATTCTAAAATGGACGGCTGGTATTGGAGATGAAATGAATAAACAGTTTTATCTGGGGAATTGTTGTCCAGGACACTAGGAGAAATTCCTTTCTCTTTTTGAATTGTGCCATGGGATCTTTAACTTTCACCAGAACAAGCAGCTCATCTTAACGTTTCATCCAAAGAATGGCACCATCAACAGAAGTCTTAATGTGGTGCTTGAACTCACAACCTTCTGACTTAGAGGCAAAAGCACTATCAACCCAGTCAGCCTGACACCTGCTTTTGAGAATCCTTCATTCTGATAAGCATACGATTTACCGACATGTTTTTTTTAAAAAAATTGGTGGGAAAACTACAATTTTCATTTCTACTTGTGCCAATGACAGTGTGCAATATTCTTGTTATTTTTTATTTTCTGCTTTAAGTTTAATGAGTACAGTGCTGACCTTTGTACCTCAATGTTGTTTAGAAGTAGTTAATAACAAGGCTCATGAATAGTTTACCTGTCCTTTCCCTCTCAGGTATTCATGGCAGAAATCCATGTGCATGCAGCTTTCAAGTTGCTATGGTTATATATTTAAATAAGACACAAATGGCATCGTTCCCCACAACACCTGAAGCAGGGGACAAGGTTAGTTTGTTAAGGAGGTTATAGGAGCCTTTTGTACTGAGGTACAAAATTAAGTTGGTTTTATTCCTGTAGGTTGGGATCATGGCCCTTGGCCCATCCGTGGCTCAAAGTTTATTTCTACACTCCACACTTAGTTGCAATCATGAATGTGGCGTATATGAATGCCACAAGATTATGGAGCAGCAAGATTTTTTAAAAAAAAAATTTCCAGCAGTTTTTTATTGCTTGCAAACATTGCAAAACTATACATTCCCCGAGAACTCCAACAGAGCAGCCGCAAGGATTTTTTTAATCTTGAAAAAGGCCCCAAATCCCTTAGATCTATGATGATTTCATCATTCAGTAGCTGTAAGCATTCAGCTACTGCTCGTAAAATTGCCATGTGATACAGACATAAAAGGCTACAAAATGTATTCCCCTCAGCGATGTTCAGTTTGGAAATCCTTATGTGTCTGTTGAGATCAGTGGTTGGCAGCATTAGAACCTCCTTTCCATTCATATTCTATATTCCCTTTAGACAACATGAATGTTTCATTGAAAATAATGATTTGTACGTATGGGTGGGTGTGGAGGGGGGGAAAGGGTATTTTAAACTTAAGCAGATAGTATTAAACACATAATTTTCATGTACAGCACTGGACGTTCTTTTAAAACTTTATTCCCGTTTTCTCTCCTTGTCTTCCAGGGGCCAAATGTCCTGAATTCCAGCCGAGAGGATATGTGGATGAGTGAACTTATCCACAGCCTTCACCAGTTTGAGTTGACGCATAACGGAAGGTGGGGTTCCTTATAGTTCCTCATCCGTCTTTTTGGCTAAGCACTCTAGTTCCTCTTGGAGGTGAGGCTAAATGGAACAACGTAAATCTGTTAGCTTGCCATCGGGGAGAATGATCACTGGGGCTGGGAACTGATCTTGGGTACCACTTCACCTTTGTACCGAGCAGTGCTAAATTCCATTTAATCCATATCTGGCTGACTTTTGTCAGCACTGTCAGATCAAATTGTGTGCCCGAGCATTGAACAGACAGTTGACATTCCAATTAGGCACCATAAAAAAGACTCACGTTGTTCCAGTCGGACAGCCTGTCACCATAAAGACATAGAGGCTATGCAGATTTGCAAAGCACGTGAAAGGCATTCAACGGCAGAGCATCAGAACTTGTATAACTTGTTAGTAAGTCTGCCGTTTGAGTATTGTGGCCATTCTGATCATCTGAGGAAAGATGTTAGGGCCATACAGAGGGTGCGGAGGAGATTTACTAGGATGATACCAGAGATGAGTGATTTGAATTCTGAGCAGACGAGAGAAATGGACCTGAAATTCCGGACGAGAGAAACTTGGCCTATTTTTATCACAATAGAGAAATCTGAGGGAAATCTGATAGAGGACTTTTAAATGATGAAGGGTTTTGATACAATAGATGTGGAGAAATCATTTCTACTGATCGAAGAATCAGTGACTGGAGGGCCTCAGTTCAAAATAGTTCGGAAGGTGGAAAAAGGGGAGATTAGGAGGATTTTTTTTTACATCGAGTTGTTATGGATTGACTTGCTGGATATGGTGGTCACTAGATAGACATCTAAAAAGGAAGAAGTAGCAAATGGGATAGAATAAATTGTTCTTTCAAAGAGTCAGCACAGATACGATGGGCTTTCTATGGTTCCATGACAGGAACCAGGAATGATAATAATAATAATAATAATCCTTGCATTTAATATAGTGTCTTATCACATCTTGGAGATGTCTCAAAGAGTTTCACAGAATATACTGTAAAGTGAATTGACTGTATATTTTGTGTGCACAGCAGTGTCCCACAAACAGTCGTGGATTAAGTGACCGATTTATTATTTTCTTTTGAAGGAATTTCTATCCCCGGAAAAAAATGATCCACCAATCGACTAACAACCAGGTTCCTACTTACTGCTAGGAAAACAGAGGTGTGTGGAGTAAGGAAACTTGCCCAAGATTTCGCCCTGCTGGGAATCGAACCCAGGTCTCTCACTTGCGAGGCAAGTGCTCTAACTTCTGAGCTACAGGACTCCACTCAAGAGATACAGGAATGTCTCAAAATCAAAGTGAAACAAATGGAAAAAAATGGTTTGCTAGATAATTTACCATGAATGATGTTTTCTGATTAAGAAATGGAAGCTTGAGTATTCTTTTTAGTGTCCTAATCCAACATGCAAATATGAATTTGTAATATTCATACAATATATAATTCTAGCCAGTCTTCTCCTCTAAGCTAGTTTTCTGCATTTCTTCTTAAGAACCAGCTTGCAAATTAAGACTCCATTGAAGATTTTTCCACCATTCTGCCATATTTAAAATTTTAGGACAAACTGTTTAAGATTAATACTAGCTGGAATTTCAGGTCCATTAAATTGGAATAAATATGTAAGAGACATAAAATGAAAGTCTACTTGCTTATAGAAAATGTTTGTTGGAGTCTGGATCTGGGTAAAGATGAGCTGAAATAAATTGTTTAACAGTGACTGCTGTAATTTTTCTTTGGAATGCACTAGTTGCAACCAGTGATAAATGTTTAATTATTTTGGATTAACCCTGAAGGCATTATCCCAGGAGAGTTGTCATTATAATAATAATTCTTATAATAATCCTTGCATTTGATATAGCTTCTTATCACGTCTTCGAAATGTCTCAAAGCGCTTCACAGAGTATATTGTAAAGTGAATTGACTGCATATATTGTGGGCTAAAGGCAGCAGCCAATTGCGCACAGGATTCTTATAGATCTATTCAGGAAAAATATTCCTTTGTCTCAGAACGAATATGGAATCATTTTTTTCTCATTCATTTGCTTTTAGTTACTCTTCATCCCTTGCTGGAAATTTTGTCTGAGTACAGATATCCAGTCCCGATAACTGGGGAGAAATTCAGTCTTAACTTTGAAGGCGTTTTGTCTGTAGTTCTTTAAAGAACTTACAGAAAACCGCCTTCAAAATTAAAACTGTATTTAAGAATTTGCCAAATTCTGGATGCTTTGAAATGAACATAAAAACATAAGAATTTGCTAGATGAAAGAAGACCAAGGCCTTCCATCATCCTGGCAGTCGTATGACATGTTGCATCCCAAACTACTGTATATATTTTATCCTGAGATACTATTTCCATATCCCAGGATATGCCAGTCATCAAGCCCAAATGCAACATGAATAGAGTAAATCTTGACCGAGAAGGAACTTCTCCCCAAGAAAACCCTGAGCTGAATGTACACAAATGGAAAGTTTGCCCTGTAAACTGACAGTCTAGCTGATATGTCTGGTGTAATAGAATCCCATTTGATGAATCACGTGATACCGGCTTCTCCTTTATCACTGACGCCAGCTTTTTTTTGACTGAGAATCCATGAGAAGGGCTAATGGCCATAGGGTGAGACAGCACCAAGGTTGAAAAGAGTAGGAACAGAGAGTGATCCAATTGAAAAAAAATGTTAAGAGTCAGCATATTTAAAACTGGCTGAGTAAGTGCTCTTGGATTAATCCTGGCAATTAAGTTAAACTGTGCTCCTACGGTTTGTGGTGATGGTAGCAGCCATATGTTCAGTGTTGCAGATGGTTAAGCAACTGTGTCATATAAAAGACGTTGATGACTCTTTATGTGGTTTGGAGAAAAGCACATGTTCCTTATCAGCCAATATGAATACAGGATTAACCCTGGTTTGAAATTGAACAAAGGTTTTTAGTATAGCACCACACTTATTATTCTTTGTTTTAAAAAAAATCAATAAGAACTTTAGAATTATTTCATTTATTTGTTGAAGATTATAAGGTTGTTTTTTTTAAGAAAAACGCTTATATTTCCACCAGTTGTGATCCAGTGAATGTTCCTGGAAGATGTTAATATACAGTCAGTGAGGGCAGGACTGGGCTCAGTCTGATCCCATTTGTTGTCCAATAGTCTATCAACATTCACTGTCTGCACTCACACATCAGGAACAACCGCTTGGCTAAAGAACCAGAGGGTTGACAACAACTGTGGAATTCTACCCCACATGAATCAGTGACTTCAAAGAAAATAGAGAAGAAATGGAGGGAAGTCACATTGTTAAATTTACATTTATCTAAATGTATTAAATATTTACGTACATGGCACAAGTAGAATTCTAACCCAGTGACAAAGCATTGGTTGAAAACTTCCATGTGGTTAATCATCATAAGTGGTGTACATCGACTATTTTGGATGCTGGATTTGCTGGATTTCCTCGAGACTAAAATCGAGGTGATCCGTTCAGCCGCCTCTGCCCACCCCATCTCACCCTCACACTCCGGCCCATACCCATCTCTCCCTCCACACCTTCGAACCTGTCTCCCACTCCTCTCTCACCACCACTATAACTCGCATGAAGCCCATCACATGCTCCCTCGACCCCATCCCTACCCCTCGCCTTACCTCCCAGCTCCACCTCCTCGCACCTTTACTCTTAGACCTTGCCAACCTCTCCCTGTCAACTGGCACCATTCCCACCCCCTAAAAACAGCTGTCATCCCAATCCTAAAAAAACCTTCCCCGGACCCATCCCTGCTCAGTAAATACTGTCTCACCTCCAACCTCCCTTTCCTTTCCAAGGTTCTTGAAAGTGTTGGTGCTTACCAGCTTCACTCTTTCCTCTCCCGCCATTCCTTTACCAAAACCCTCCAAACAGGTTTCTGTGCTGCCCACAGCACGGGAACAGCCCTGGTCAAGGTGTCAAATGACATTCTGTCCTTCTGTGACCAGGGATTTGTCTCCTCATTCTCCTCGACCTCTCTGCTGCCTTTGACACTGTGAACCATTCTATGCTACTCCTCCACCTCTCCTCTCACTTTAACCTTCAAGGTTCAGATCCTACCTCTCACATCAGCTGCACTTTGTCTCCACAAATGGCTTCTCCTGCAGCCTCTGCACCATCTTATGTGGTGTTCCTTAGGGCTCTGTTCTCAGTCCTCTCCTCTTCAACCTGTATATGCTCCCTCTTGGTGACATCATCCGCAGACATGGGGCCAACTGCCACATGTACGCAGATGACACCCAACTCTATCTCTCTGCCTCCACCCTCAACCCCAGGACCACTGCTGTCCTGAGTGGTCCTCCACACCCCTCCCTGCCCGGGTCCTAATCCCTGATTGTTCAGCGCCTTGGGACGTCCTCCCGATTTGAAAGGCGCTTTAAAAATTTAATTTTGTATTGTATTTTAGAATGAACATCCTATCGATCACAAATTTCACTTTAAATTCCTGGAATACAGCAACAACAACAAGAACAATAACAACGATGTTGTTGGAATCTGTTAAATAACTACCACAATACATACAGTAAGATCAAAATAAGTACCAACACTAGGACCACAAACAACGTCTGAGCAGCATTAGTTTTAGTCAAATAACTTCTTAGACAGAATCTATACCAGTCTACTTCTGTAAAATATATTATAGCCAGTTTGCTTCAGTATTCAGTCTTGTACTTTTTTTTCGGATACATTAGGGCTGCCCATTGAGCCACAGCCCCTCACTTTTCCTAAGGATCATAATGGTTATTCAACCCTACAGGACAACAATAACTTGCATTTATATAGTGCCTTCACATGGGATAGTCTCAGATCACTTAACATTGCTGGAGCTTGATGCCGATGCCAAGAGGGGGAAGGTGACCGTACGCACGGTCGAAGGGAAAGGTCTTCAGGTGTGATCTGAAGAATGGTAATAATGAAGCAGGCAGAGTTCCACAGTTTTGTGGGGTGTGACATGTTCTCATGAAACTGTACT